AACTCATAATTCAATCCTGAATATGCCTTTAAGCGGAATATAGCTGCAGTGTTATCTGAACCCTCAATTTCCTAGTTCCTTGAGATTTACCATTTCTTGGTCTTTCCTCGGGTGAACACACTTTCTTAATCCGTTCTGTGTCATGTAGTTCTGGCTAATTTGTTACGTGCTATTTGCTTATGTTCGTGTTTGGCTTTTATTTAATTTCTCATGGTTATTTTTCTTTTTTTCTTGCGTTTGCCTTAGCAACGTAATAAACATAACATAACATAAATAAGACTGGAAGTCCTAATCAACTACACGTTTAGAAAAACACCTGTTCTTAATCCCAATTTCGCACTCGTTCGGAGTGCTACAGGCGCTCCATTCACACCACTGGGTCCAGGAGCATTGTGGTGTACATGGTTGTGTGTTGCATTCCTTCTGCTCACGATCGTGGCCTTCACAGCGACAACTGTCGTCAGGAGTACCTCAAGTGATCTGGTATTGATTCAAGTAATTGACCATCGAAAATATGACCAAAACCCACACGTTAAGCTGACGTCAGTGTTTGCTTTTTTACTTACCATGTTCAGAGAGGCATGTTCTGGTTCGAAGGCTTTGTCCGCCACCACATTCTCGATCACACATAGTCCAATGGCACCAATCCGACCATCGACAACAGGACGCTCCCTCGCAGAGAGTGGTTTCCTTTAAACTGTCAAATTACGCTTTTTGTGGGTTGCTTCCCCCCAAACTGAAATGAATACGACAACAGGTAAATAAAGTGGAGCTCACGAGGCCGAGTCCTGGGCAATCGCGGCTCTCCGCACCATCATCGGAACGGCAAACTCGTGTACGCGTTCTTTGACCTTTCCCACATTGCGCTGAACACTCAGACCAGTCATGCCACTCCGTCCATGCTGCGCATGCAGGTCCGTAACAGGGAGCAGTCTCCTGAATCAAATCTCACATTATAGGGCTTACGGGTCTGCGGTGATCAACGAAGATACCAAAGCCGACAACAATGAAAGACAAGTTCTTTTGAGATTTTGCTCACCTCTTCTGGTCCTTGGCAATCCGTCCCATACTGGCACACCCTCTGTCGCCGTTTCATTCCAGCTCCACACGAACTACTGCAGCCGCTCCACTCCTGCCAAGGTGACCAGAAGGAGCACGGGAGCTCTTCACAAACTCGTTCTTCACTATTAGGTCCTCAAAATAGATTGTTTTGGGCCATCTCACACGTTGTTACCCTTTTGCTTGTAGGGTATCGCTATTTCACGCAAATTCTGTGCGCAGGACATGCTAGATAACAACATAACAGAGATTAACGAGGAATTGCTGGTCCAAATGTGGACTATCGGCTGGTTCTATTGTCCTCACGCCATCCCTCGTCGTTCATGCTCTTCAAACTAGGAACAGCTTCCAGTAGAAACCAATAAGGAGTGTTTTATCATTCGTTATTCTGCATATACCTATGACATTACCACGCAGCTGGGGAAACTAGTGCAGGAAGTAGGCCTTCGCTGACGATGTAATGAAGTTCTTCTAGTAAATGAAAGAGATTCTGCATTGAGTCAAATGGCTGGAGAGCATTTGTTTTCCATCTCGCGAAATCCCACATATTTTTGCCCGCATCCTTGACATTCTACCAAGTAAACCGATCCCCTAAGTTGACATATTTTGGTGTCATTACAGTAACTACAACCCTCTCTGCCGCATTTTTCTTCATAGGGCCTTGAGTATGTGAGTAGGCGTTTGAGATTCGGTGGCGGACGGAATATTAATCGTATCGGGAGAGGCGAACTTTTGACCACACTGTTCACTTTTAGAGCGTGCTTTCATTAACATACGGCATAACCATGGATATTCCATCTGGTGTCGAGTGTGGTCTCCATGTATATGTTGGTACTTTCACATAACCGTTCTCCCTTAGAATATTGTCCACCATCGAATCTACTTCATTGGACTGTTGGGTGCAAATTTTCTCCTTGGTGATACTAGATTCCTTAAATACATTGGCTTTCATGTATGCGGGATGCTAGGAGCTGCCATCCAGCATACAATAACGGCCCATCAGTACTGGACAGAAAGTCAACCATTCTCGCAACGGCACCCTTCCCAAAAAGCAGCTGCAATGTCCCAAAGCCGATCTCCACACTTGAACCGTTCTTGGCTGCTTTACACCAACAACTCAAAGATATTTACTCGACGGCCAGACAAACATTTGGTTCTAATTTGACTGAAAAGGAAAGGAAGGGATTTAAAAAGCTATTGGCCATGAAAAAGGAATTGAGGTATAGTGTAAGGGGACAAAAGCGGGGATTTTGTTGTTATTACCAAGGAAATGGATATAGAGCAATTACCATCCACAGTTTAGAGGATCTTAGCACTTACAGAGAGTAGTCTTTTCAGGCGTTTGACCAGGCTGCAAAGCGATTTGAAAGAACAGTAAAAACAGTGCTTAATAGGAAGTTAGATAAGAGGGCAGTAAGACAATTCATTTCGTCCTCTCCATGTGTCCCTACTTACTACTCATTCCCCAAATCACTATGGTAGTATGGTGCCCTCTTAGTCCGAGGAACACCTGAATTGTTTTTATTTCATCAATTGCGCCTAATAGTTTCAGCATGGCGGTGACAACATTGAGAAACGAAGTTTTCTCATGTGTTAAAACCTCATCCACGAACATTTTTAACAGACATGTCTCCTTGCAGACAACAGACTTGATACGACTTCTGTTGTGGATCTAGGTCTGAAAGGCATGCTGAGCCTGATGAAAAGGCACTGCGAACGGTTGTGTAAGGATATCCATAAGTAAAAATTGAGGACATGACTGAAATACTTTAATTCGATAATTTCTCAATTCCTCAACCAATTTTAAAGTGAAAGAAATTCTTTCATCATGCCCTGGACAATAATGGAAATATACAGTTGGATTTTTCTTGCTCTTCCGGAAGGGTAATCGCGCTCATTTATAGTCAAGTTACAACTAACCTGGACACAGGTGGTCTCCAAAACCGCCAAGACAGGTTCTCTGCCGTCTAGCCATTCCTGCACCACAACTCGCTGAACATCGGCTCCATTCGCTCCACTCCACCCATTCTGGACATGGACCCAGCATCACAAGCCTCGACCTGGAGGAAGTGTGGTACTTCTATCCATTTCCGCACCAGGTATTTTTGACAGGCTCTATTTTTCATTCAAACAGGACGACATGCGGCAATGCAAGTTGACTTTAGTGGACCAACTTGTCTTTCTACTACTTGTACTTGGTTACATATGCATATGTTCGAGCCTGTTGAACAGCGATCTCGACGAAGAGTCTATTTGAACATAGGAGAAAGCACAGCTGGAGAGACGCAGCAGTTTATCGCGGAAAAAGCGGCGATGTCAATTTTTTTTGAGGAACGAATTAGGTATGAAACTGCGATTTCCCATGTAAACGACTTTTTGACCTCTGATTAATTTTTTTTGAATTCTTCTGACAGCGATCAAGACCTTTAATTTATCGTAGTCTACGTGATTGGTGTTCGGCATTTCTTCATTTAGTGGAACTCAGTTGCTTTTCACAAAAGTTTCGGGTGAAACGTCTCGCCAAATACCTTTATCAAGGATCTCAGCATTGCTAATCATCTTGAGCTCGTTAAGTTCATTACCATTCACATCACTCCTTCCAGGTAACTACTCAAGTGAAGCTAGAGGTCTACTTGGCCACAGCTACCCCCCCCCCCCCCCCCCCCCCCCTCCCCCCCCCCCCACACCCCCGCCTTCCGCCGACGTCAACTGTCAGAAGATATGTGATGCAGTCCATGATGGGCTTTATGCTGTTGACTTTTAGTTTACAAGTTGCTGCAAGACTCATGAGAATACAGTGATTGATGTGCCGACTATGCCCTCAAGAACTTTGAGAAAGCAAGAAAATATTACCTCATAATCTTTGCCTTCGCATCTCTGTGTTCCTAAGTGACAGAATCTTGTACGCGTTCGTTCTCCACGTCCACAGCTTCCAGAGCACGTAGACCATTCACACCATTCCGACCATGTTTGGCATGGTCTTTCGTTGCACGGGGCAGTTTCATATTCTGGTCCCTATACGATGAAAATCAGGAGAGGGTATATATCGAAAAGATCACAATGAAACTTCTTAGGTGAACTGTGAACGCAACTAACAGATGCACGATCAATTATATCATATGTTTGCACAAACTTGTTCTCTTCCCTTCGCGCTACCAATTCCTTTTTTCGCTCTTTCTTCCTTGTTTCTCATTCTGAGTTTTTTTTTTGCAATTGCTAACGCATGCTTATGGAAGCGCGGAGGTGTGTGATCGACCATACCCTACGCGCTTTCATCACTTTCCAACTAGTTCCGCTCATCCAATCATCGACATGATCGCTGTCTTGAGCTATATCGAAGCATGTTTATTTCAATACATTGAATGGGCTTGCAATGCTGCGCCGTCAGATCAGGTCTTAGGGCTTTACAACTGCTGTGTGATGGAACAGGCGCTGCAAGCGAGTTGATAACGAAAAACGTTAGGGTGAGCTGAGATAGTAGGAAGTGGGCGGAAGTGCCAATAATGACGCCGAGTGCCGAATAAATCAAACAAATCGTCGCGCTACTTGAAAGCTCGCACGCAGTACAATGATTGCAAGATGGAGAGCGCTCGACAAGATATTTGGAGAAATACAAATAACTGTAGAGAGTGTGCGATAGTCATCCGAGCTAGATTTTTCATGTGGTTCAGCTTCGAAGTTCTTGCTACACGCGCTCTCAACAAAGAGCCAATAGTCATGTGTGGCTACGGCAGAGCAGCTCGCTTCGTTTCGGGTGACTTGGTCATAATTCATACTAGTAAAGATAATGAAACAAAATACCCATGGTTCGCGAAATTCATTTGACAGTGCAGACAGCTTTGATTTACCAAGACAGGAGATGCAATGCTGACCTGGTTTGCTTTCATACTGCATTGTTACCAGCACCATTCTCGTCCTACGTTGTATTTATTCCATCGCCCACATAGTGCATGAAATATGACCTACTCAGGCAGCCACTTCAGTACACTCTCCTGAAAGAACAGCAGTCGGTAACAGAGAAGGGTGCAATCGTATATTAGCAACGCTTGCACACTTTTTAGCTTCTGTTCCTTCAGAAACAACTCCATTTCGTCTATTACATGGTAAGATACGTTTCTTATGATAAAGAATCTGAACTCATCAAGAGACCAAACACAAATGACTACAATCAACTCTAGGCCAGAGTATGTAATTTTTGGGTAATCTTTGGTCTCGCTCTGTCGCAATCATATTCGGTGAACGCACTCGTTCTGCTACTCATGCCCGTTTATTTTTGGTCTCCTTCCATTGTCATAGAGATGATATCGAAGAGAACGGAGTGCGCCAATATTACAGTTTAGGGGCCTGACGTATATAATTTTGCCCAAACTTTTTGGCCTTTGAGTGCACTTCATTTTATTCATGAGTCCAGAAAATTTCATTATGTGACCTTCAATGAAATGACATATGTATCTCCACGTATCGTAGCAAGTCGAAACAGAAACGACTGGAATTCACATTTTCCTGCAAATGAGGTATGCCTGCAGTTGTGACTTCTACAGAGATTTGAAGGCGAAGAAGTCGTTGAGAATCGGTTTCCTTCTGGGCTTGATTACTAAGACACTTTCAGCCCAGGAAGTTGTCGGGGGTCATAAAGAAGTTGCAGTCGGTGAGGGAGAGGTATGGCGATTATGGTGAGGCAGGGTTTGCGTGCCTAATTTGTTCAGTTTAAGCCGCAACCGAAAAGCTCGCTCGGAAATTTCAAGAACCTGGCGACACAAGTAAATGCCACATTCAATCCTTGCAAAGAATGGTTTGAACTATTAATAAGCAGGCTAGTTGATTTCCTTTAATTCTCAAGTCTCAAGTGCCTACACGGCTTTCTTGCAAGCTGAGAAAATGTCATATGATTCGAGCCCATTGTGTCTGCGCCGCTTTAGTATTTTTGTCTTGACGCACAGCGAGCCGAAGGCCTTGCTTGGTAGTATATGCTCTGGGACGGAAAAGACGTGGCAGAGTTGAGAAAGCCCCGATCTTTGTACGGAAGTGGATTCGCGAATGGAATTACAACCTCGAAGATGAGCCTCGTTCCGGAGGTCCAACGGAGGTAAATTTGGAATGTTTGGAGCTGTTTGAAGACGTTCCGCATGCAAGCATCAAGGAGCTGGCACGGAAGATGCGACATGGCCATAGGTCGTGCCCTCCACAAGCTGGAAAAAGTCAAGAAACTTGGTCGATGGATCCCGCATGAGCTGACAGAGCAGTCCAAGAAAAGAGTATCGGGGTGTGCAGAGGTTTTCTTGCAAGGAGTCGCCGTTTCGATTGGCTGGATAATGTAATTACTGGAGATGAAAGGTGGGGCTCTACGTATGTCATACCAGAAAAGACAGTGGATGGATGCGAGAAGCCAGAGCCTGTTCCAAAGCAGGAGGTTCATCCCAAGAAAGTTCCTCTGTCAGTTTGGTGGAGTGTTCGGGGAACACGTCATTACGAGATGCCAGACAATACCACCGTCGACGCTGAGGTGTACTGCTCACAACCACGAAGGCTCGCAGCTGAAGTCGCGAAACTTCGCCCGAAGCTGGACGAAGTCTTCTTCTTCATGACAACGCGCGACCGCATGTTGCAAGGGTAACCCAGGACACATTGGCGGAACTTGGATTCTGCGGTCTTACCCCATCCTCCATATTCGCCAGATCTTGCACCTACGGATTACCTCCTGGCTCACTTCTTAAAGGGTAAAAAGTACGACAACGTCAACAGTTGGAAGCGGGCACTTCTTCGACTCGAAACCTGCCGAATTTTGAAGGAGAGGCATTTGTTCCCTTGTCGACCGATGGCGGACTGTTGTAGGTACTTGTGGGAATTATTATTAAGAATAAAGTTCAATTCAAAGAAAATACGAGTTTTTGAAAGGGGTCGAATCCGCAATTACTTTCGTTGCGACTAATATTTTGGAAAATCAGTTGTACAATGTGTGACAGCGTGACCGATTTATGTTGAGCAAATCTTTGCACTCCGAACCAAATCAGCATTAACTCTTACAACTTGTACCTGGAGTGATGCTCTCTACCAAACATCCTTCACCTTTACAAGCAGGCGGTGGTGGAGGAGCAGGACGATATCGCTTATCTTGGGGTATTCTCTAAAACACGCAGTTCAGTCTCATTGTCGTTGTATAGCGAAAAAAGTTATAGTTCAACAGTTCAAGTACCTGTTGATACAGCTGAGGAAGCTGAGGGGGCGCTTGAAGCGTTGTTTGAATTTGAAAAGGCGACGCCTGAGATGAATCCTGAGGAAGTACAGGGCACGCTGCTCCAGTGCATGGCTGCGCCGAAGGCAAAGCTGAATGTCGCTGCATGGCCTGGTGCTCTCTCATCCTGGAAGAAATGTTCAGGTTTCTGGATAACTAGCTTGGTGGACTCTAATGACTTTTGAAGGGTCAGCGTTTGTCAATGGCGCAGCGAGCCAAGGTGACGTTTTCCTACACTTACCCAGAGCTCATACATTCATCTGCATAATGGAAATACCTCAGAAAACAGAGTGAAAATGAAAATGTTTTCCAGGTTCTTCGAGCAGCCCGTGTAAGTGCAAACTGAAATTAAGCGAAAGAGAGTGATCGTGGGTTCCCCAGAAGAGAGTAGTGGTAGTTCGGGGGGAGGCAGTCATAATATCTAATCGAAAAGACAATTTCTAATCAATGTGGAGCTGCGTAAGGGCACTCATATCTAATCAACATTTAAAGCACAGCCTCCGAGTGTATGATTAGATAGGGGACATAAGCCCGTACAAAATCGGGTACCTGAGGAAGCTCTTCCTTCGACGCTTGCATGGCAATTACAAGAAGATGTGGTGGAAGTGAAGAGTCAGCAAAGTAGCAGCCATTTTCGCTCGACAAGGGTAACAGGTGTGACGTAGAGGTCTTAGTGAAAGATATGACGACTAATTGATAATATACGAGGAGGCCTTTCCGCAACTCTCCTAGATTAGATATTAGTGCCTTTTCGCAAACTACCTCGATTAGATTTGAGTGCACCCCCCCCCACACCTCCCAAACTACATTTTCACCGTGAAATACTAATCCTTTTAACTGAATTATTTCACAAAGGAAGAACACAATAATATAACTACCACGGTCTGTGCCACCGCTACTTCGTTTCATGCAATAGTACCTGGACTTATAATCAACAAATTTCCAAATTCGGCTAGAAACAGTAAAGCTATTGAAGCTATTCATAGAGAATTACTGTACAAATATCCAGACTGGAAGATTCCATTCGATATCAACGGAATGGATGAGAAATCGGTTTCCTGTAACGCTTGTCCTCAGGATTCTCGTTCCCTAGTCACCATTATTTTTTTTGCAAGATCCAGCACAAAGAGCAGTACAAAATATGAAAAACTGTGTTGAACTGTTCCAAGGAGTTGCCTTCGAGATTGTTCAGGCCTATAAGGGGATCGGTCTCGATTGCTTCTTGGATTTTCAGGCTCTGACAAGAGCGAAAAGTCGAGAGTTTCTTAGCCACTCCAAAAAGCTTTCACTCAGGCGAAATCATAAAAAATTTAATGGAGCAAAATAGCAATTACTCAGCATCTGCCAGAGAAGAAAGTTAAAGATTGCGACCACCCCAGAAACGACCTCTCCAAATTCTTCAACTTCCAGCTCCACTTCTGGGCGGAAAGCTTGCAAACACCTAGCAAATGCGCGCATGACCATCGCATGACTATCAGTGACCATGATGGTGGTTATGCTATTGATTGTTAATATTGATACTGATTGATCAGTTTCCTAGAAGAGATAAAACAAATAAAAAAGTGTCGATAATGAGACAGGAATTATGAGACAACCCAATACGTTGAGGTCAAGGTACAATACAAAGTAACTTATATAGAAGAGAGTGGCGTCGATTATCCAAAATAGGGAACTGAGAAGGCGCAGGATTAATATAGGGAAACGAAGGATGAAGAACAACAGTCCAGTAAGACAGGGTATCTCGTTCATAGCATTACAGACATTTCCGCTTGAAACTAAACCATAATTATTTTGTCACCATATTTATGCCCCACCATGTAGACACGAACAAGGATTATGAATCAATCTGCTTCTCACTAATGTTCGCTTCATTAAATCAAGCTGCAACCCAGCCCTTTTACACACAATCGGGTTCATCTAGCTTTCAGTGAACGGGTAGTCATTATTGTCATGTTGACCCTCTTCGAAAGCCTTTTTGCTTACATGACTGTACCTAATCCTTAATTCCGCCATTTTCCTGAGGTTAAATCGAGTGAAAAGTATAAGGTGTACAGAAAGCAGGCAAATTGGATGATCATCAACAATGTTTAGCATGTCTTCTTCTGTTATGTTACTGTTCATTAGGTGATCTTCAGTCAGATGGAAACGAAAGAGGTTCTGGAACTGTGAGTTACCATGGAAGATTGTTTGACATAATGAGCGTCGTCCGTGTTCCACTATCATTCCACGGATCTCAATTTGACGTACTTCAGCCACTCTTCTAAGACCGTCGAGGGAGAATGTCTCCCATGTAGAACTTCGTCGAATCATCCTACTCGGTCTTAATGGGTGGGATCAACAACCTGTTTAAATGAAGCTCTGATGCAGGCACGTGCGTTAGATTTGCAATCCTCTTCTTCATTGTTGTCCGCTTTGGCAGCCTGGTTCTATGCTGAGGTATTACCAGCTTTTTTCGGACCATATACTCTGCCGTATGGAGAGCTCTTTCATATTCAGGAGATTAGCGCGGATAGATTAGAATGACATGTGCCTGGCATAACTGGTAGCCACGTTCAGACAAAATTATGCCATCAAACAATCGTAATCTAATGAAAAATTTACAATCACAAAGTTGCTGCTCCGGGCACTGTTTACCATTTTCGTACCAACATGAGCTTGATTAAGAATGCTGCCAATATCCTTTGCATGTTAGATGCGGTGTACGATATTGGTACATAAAAGGTGATTGTGTCAGCCTATTTTGAACTGTAGATTCAAGTGTATTCTCTAGGTTCGGCAGTAAGCGAGTAAAAATGCTGTTGCAGGAGATAGAAGTGTTGGCCGAGGCGCATATTGGGAAAGGGCGCAGCTTCAGGATAGGGCTGCTGCGGTCGACAAATCCTTGTAGAGGTTGGTCGTGCAGGACAGCCACGTCGCTGAATCTTCCTACCATATTCGCAAGCTCTAGAGCGTGCTTCGAAACCTAAACTTTTTAATGATCGAAAAGCTGGTATGAATCTTCAAATATGTATGGTTATGTATTTATGCGGTATGATAGATCAATCTGACCCTTAATTTCTCTCGAAGAAACTAGACATGTACCGCATAGAATCTGACTCCTTAACGTGCATAACTGATTTCATTACATTGCTGTGAACACGGGACAGTCGTCCATTCTCCTGGTTTCAAGGAACTTCATCGTATATTTCTGAACGACTATTTCGTATGATTCATACAGTGATTGAAAGGTATATTGGGATGGGATGAAAGCGCTGCAAACTGCGATGAAACGATCGTGAGCCGTGATGGTTTTGAAATAAATGTATATGGCCTCGAACGTTATTTCAAATCGGTCAATTGATGTTGGAAACAAGGTCAGGAATGCGGTAATGTGATAGAATTGCGGCTTGGGTTCGTTTATCTGATCACCAAAGCCACTCCAGTGTCTTGTAGATACACTAGTCCCTGGCAAGAATATAATAATTCTTGAAAAATTAGAAGGATTTTTTTCATAAGGCTTTTATGGAACTATATTAAAGACGATTGCATCTGAAAAGTTCGAGCTCTTCACTTTTGCAGCTATGGCTGAAACACCTGATCACTCAACACGGGAATCCTCCATGACTCTGTTAGCATCATTAGACATCGGAATAACACTAAATTGCCATTCATAATCATCGTACGTTCGTAACCATCGTCAGACGACGCCCTAAGTGACATGCTTCTCATTTCAAACGACCGCTCCGACTTACGATTCTTCCCCTTTAAGACCCATGCCGGAGACCGCGATTAGATACGCGGACGCTAAAAACGAAAAACAAACAAAAACAAAACACATAAGGCGTATTTGTGCTGCAAAGAAGCATCAACACCTCAAAGCACGCACGCCTATTGGTCGCCGAAAGCTATTGAAAATCAAAAAGTATTTCTCCTTGGTATGCCGCTGTTTGCATTGATAAATAAATAAAGACTCCCTAGACGTCGTCCATCCTGTTGTGTAAGCAGGTGTTGTCGGCTATGTGCAAGGCTATCAAGCGAATGAATTGGTCGATGTTCCTAGTACGCTTGTAGCAGTGCTTTCCTTCGGCACACTCAGAACCAGAGCATTTTCAGATGGAGTTAATGTTTATTTTATGTTGCACTTTTTCAGTCGCGATATACCACAGGATTTGTGTATCGCATTCATTAGGACAATCTGGCGCATGGTGGCTGGACTCTACTTGCTCTGAATGTACGCGTTGTTTTTCCCGATGATGGTTCTTTGAATTACCGAGATAGATGGAGTGTATCAAAAAAAATAAAAAAAAAATAAAAAAAAAAAGACTGGCTGATCTTCCACTACGCAAAGTTTTAATCTTTGACCAGCAGCGATTCGACGGTGAGGAACTTGATGGCCTTATCACTAGCGGAGGTCCGGTAGCCCTAGTCATTAAAGGCAGCGATTACGATAAAGAGGGAGCGCATCGATGAAGCATATTCACCACACGAAGCAGTTACGTGACCACAGGAAAGCGGGGTGTAGCATTAATCACGAAAGGTGCGCTCTGATAAGACAATATACCGCATAAAAAAAAATCACCAACCAACATGCAGAAACTTTAAAATAAATGACCCACATCGAAAAGAAACCCCTGACCAATCCGGGATCTCCTCCGAACAGGACTTCGGAAAGCGATCCGCCCGATTAGTTTAGGTTGGTGATTTTGGACGAGATAGTCACTTGCGTGCCAGCAGCCGGCACAAACTGCGCATTCTGATTATAAGCGTGTAGCATGTGTCATGGTGGCACTAAACGCGTCGTGCGATGGAACTAAGTTCAGTACATTCAGACTTTCTTGAGCTGTTACCTGTTCATGAGTGAAAACTAACGGCCAAATAAGGGAGCCTTTTTGCGTTTCCGTGAGGGAATCTCCGCTTTCTTCGCCACTGGCGTGCCATTGAGCACCACCATATCTCTTCTAAACCCTTCTTGAACTATCGTAATCGCTGCCTTCAAAGACTGGCGCCCGACAACAGAATATCTCCTCGACAAGAAGAAACTGATCGCATAAATGAAGCTCATTACGAGCACATTCTCTTTAAGCATTTTTGCTATCTATTCAATGTGGTCGCATCGTCAAGAAATTGGGCTTTTTCATGCTTGTAAACTTCTTTGTTAATATGTGTGCAAAGAGCACGTTGCAAGAAAGTGCGCTCTACAGCAATTTCAGCGGCCAAACGACGGAATGGGCGAAGTGGCTCCAAGCGCTTTTCGCCCGCATCTTCGAGATATTACCCCTGCGCAGTAGTAATCCTTTTAAGTCCAGGCCTTTTGGTGCTGCTAACTAGCCCATAACTTCCTAACGGTGGTCGTCGTAAGTTTCAAAGAGCTTTTAAAACGTTTTGCAATGCAACACAATCGAATAGATTGTCGGAGCAAAGTAGTGAATGATTCTCAAGGAGTTGAAGGATTGTCCATTCCGGAGTTGTTATATTTCATATGACATTATCAAAATAAACGCGTGAATATACATCAAAAACTCTTGGTGTTCAAAATGAAAATTGGCAGCGGCAATCTCTTGTTACCGTAATTTTTGCCCATCTTATCTACACTCACTCAATATCACTATCACACATGCTTCCTGTCATGGCAGCCTCTGCTTTTCGGATAGGAAGGAGACCTCGGCCGTCATCCTGAAACCCTCGCATATCGATCGGTCGCCTTTTTCCATTGGACGCGCTTCTTCTCTAGTCGCGCTTCCTCCTTTGTCGCGTTTGCTCTCTAATCCGACTGTGACCTCTGCCTATGTGCGACACATGTGAGATGCACGTGAAATGAAATCATACGACGAGTTGCGTTGTGGTTTTTACAATTTTGCGAAATCATGGGGGCATATGAGGGAAGTGCGTGAACACAGATCCAGGAACACTAACGTCTCTTTTTCCGATCATACTTATCCGTTGATGAAACGAGCCCATCCTCTTCGAGAGGTGGCGAGTCGTCAAACGCATGGCAGTTGGCGACAATCTCCAGCATTCGGACGACATCCCTTAATTGTTCTGTTGTCTGCCTCACGAGATGAACCTGTAAAAATTTAAAATCTCTGAATATGGCCGCATAAGTAAGTACATTGTAATCCGCAAGGTGGAAGCATAAATAAATGCATAAAGCAAAAAAGATGATAAAGATAAAGGTAAATGCAGCGACAAGACTGAGCTTCAAAAAGCGCAGCTACGCAACAAGGGTGAAGAAGGGCTTTTTAGTGGATCACTAGATTCTTCAGAGTCTTTTACTAAATGTGCTTCAAAAGGTTTACAGTTTTATTATCACATCACAGTTCATTATCTTGAATTGGTAAATGGCACCATTCCCACAAAAGAACGTAATTTTCAGCCTCACACGCCTACTGAATTCCTTTCAAAATCTGCTGATCCGAAAGATACAACAGAGGCATCCGACTTCAAGCAAAGTACATTTTGTACTTTTGTCGCAGAGGCCGATTGGTTGCTCACGCTAAAAGGTGCTCTTATGTGTTGAAAAGAAGTTCTTACTGCTCTGTATACGAAGGTTTGAAGGATTCTTGCCACTTGAGCTCTCAAAAACAGCAAATACTTTTCATAATCGTTTGTTAACATCAAGTGGGTGGGATTCCATGACAGTAGGCGGCGCAAGTATCAACACAATCAGGAAAGCTCAAGTTGAAGAATCAATCTCCAAACTGGTGCCCTTCCAGTGAGGTTGTCTAGCACACGATATTTTGATTATTCATTCGCAATTCATTCCAATAAAGCCAATTACACTTGTCTTGTCATTTTGTACTTCAGCTGACAATTTCTCACTTGGCCACAAACTTTGTCGTCCAAAATCATCGTGCAGGATGGAGTAAGGTCTCTTTGGCTTTGTTCTCGATTGCATTGCTCTTTTCGTCACTGATGCACCATTTAGCATCTTCACTCAGTATCAACTTTCGGTGACCAAGCCGGATGGGAGGGTCGCATTTGCGGATTTTGAAAAAGGTAGGGGTTGTATCTGGGGTTGACACTAGTGTTAATAAAATCTCTCGATCACTTCTTTCACTCCCTCACCCTCCTCCGTCTGCGAGCAGCTTCGAGGGGACGTGGTGGAGTTGGAGAGGGGTCAACCCTGTCGTGTATCTTTATGGAAGTTTTTACGACCCCTTCATGGGTGATTTGATACGACCCCCCCTTGTATGTGACACTTGTGTAGAGACAGTGTTTACCATCAATATTTATTTCTACGTAAGTCATCAAAGATGAAACTTTAGCAAAATCCACGACAGATATTCATCGCTGCTTCCAAACACGAAAAAATGAGATGCATTCAAAGATATCCGTGTACTCCAAAGGGTTACCAAACTAGGAGATGAAATAAACTGAACCAGTGACCGGAATATTGACAATATTACCTGATAAAAACTTATGAGAAGTCAGAAAAAATTATCGCTCCAATTGAAATACTGAAATCCTTCACGTTCTTCAATTGCAACACAATTTTTACACCCCTTTCTAAGGCTATAACTTCCTTCATATTCGAGCTTCTGCGCCGAAGTGATTTGATTTGGAAAATTCAAATTATTCTCTCTCCAACCATGGGTAAAAATTCTTCGAAAGTTAATTTAATAAAAATTTAGTACGTTACTTTTTTCTGTGCAAAGCGACTTTTTGACCTTTAAACGATCATAACTTTGTTCAAAAGCATTCATTTGGGAGCTGAACACGGTATGACAAAAACTACAGGATTCAAGCTTTCTAAAGAGCACCCAAGCGTTCCTGAAAGATCAGTAGTTCAAAAATTAGTCCCGTTGTTACTTTTTTGGGGGTTTGCGTTACTATTTTTTGGAACCGCGACTTTTTGACCTTCAAACGATCATAACTTCCTTCAAAGTCATTCATTTGGGGAAGCTGAACACGGTATAATAAACCACAGGATTTCAAGCTTTCTAACGAGCACCCAAGCGTTCCTGAAAGATCAGCAGTTCAAAAATTAGTCCCGTTTACTTTTTATTTTGAGGGGTATTCTTCAAGCCATTTTCTCGAAAACGCGAGTTTTCTTAGGTTTCACTGCCCGTAACTTCTTGGAAGACCAATTTTATGTTAATTAGGATGTGCTAGAAAGCTCCGAGCATGCGCTTGCACTACATCCCTTGCCTTGGTGCGCGCCACGCCTCGGGCGCCCTTCTAATTCGCTGATTCATTTGAAAGCTCATTTAGAGGGAATCGTGGTTTATAGATGCTCTAGTATCAGTCATCTTACGAAAACGTAACGTGCTGGCTATTATCCGATATTACCAAGAATCCCACTGTCGGCCACCGAGAGAGTACGACCCTTCCCCAAGCGAATGAGATAGACCCCCGTTGTTTACTACGTATAAAGTAGGTTGACCTAAAGTATGGAGTGTGCAAGGCACCCAATAATGAAAACCAGCCAGGCAAGAAGTGAAGGTTTAGGGGTGCGAGAGCGTTCTGGGGACCTAAGCTGATAGTGAGATAGGGGATCATAGGAGGAATCAGTTGAAGGAATCCTTCGCGGAAAATTCTTGCATTCTTTCCCAACATGAATGTGTCAGTTGTGATCACTGGAAAGCACACAAAGTTTCACGCATGAAGATTCGGTTTCCGAAGAGAAACAAACTCACGAAAACCACTCTATGGACAATCGAAGGTAGGTCGGGCGGAGCCAAAGGCGGGGCATGGAAAGAAGTGCGCCTTGGAGCGGCTACGCAATGGAAGAATCGAGTTAAAGCTCTTTCGCGGAGAGCAGAGACAAAACGATCGATGGAGTAGGGTGCAGTAGAAGTGATGTCAGTGCAATAAATCAAAGGGTAAAAAGAGTTCCTAGCGAAAGCACTTCATGACTAACCAGGAAGGCATTCAACTTCCCATGGAACTTTGAGATGAGACCCAGATATATCGATAGAGCTTCAAACGCTGATTACAAATATGGAAACTAAAACTGCAAAATGAACCTGCCAAGGAAGTTGTGAGCAGTCAAAGTTGGCTGGAAGTAAAGCATTACACCGTGCTAGCCTCCGGGCTTTCAGAGTCGCCGCGGAGCAGTGGTGGTGCTCTCGCTCTTCACCGGGAGGTCATAATTCTCTTCCCGTTGGAGTGCAAATTTCGAGAGCACTACCACTACTCCATGGCGACTTTGAATGCCCGGACGGTAGCACGGTTCATATGTAACGCTTTACTTCCAGCCAACTTTGACTGCTCACAACTTCCTTGGCAGGTTCATTTTGCAGTTTTAGTTTCCATATTTGTAATCAGCGTTTGAAGCTCTATCGATATATCTGGGTCTCATTCAAAGTTCCATGGGAAGTTGAATGCCTTCCCTGGTAAGTGTAAGCGCCTGCCACCAGCATTGTGACAGATGTCCGGCGGAATTCAAACGCGTAGCAGCCCTCCCGACTTTTCGAATTGATTTCCAAAACAAATGCAATTTTTTCTTTTCGTTTTTATCGTGGACGATGGTCTCAAGCCAGTGATTTATGGGTGAAATAGAATCATGGTTTTTCCGGGAAGGATTCCTTTTTCTGAACTTTATACCCCTTACATCAGTAAATCATGTGTCTCACATAATGGAAGAAGGAGTTTAAACATACCTCTTCACTCAACGAATTGACTCCAAAAAGATAGCACTGATGATGTTTCTTTTCTCCGTCCAAGTAGTAGTAAACAACTGAACATGTAAACGTTAGTGATTGCCACAGACAAAAAATAAGACATGAGCATTCAGCAACAGGTAATAAATATTATTATAGCAGAATCCTGGTTTCTCCACCTGTAGCACTTCCCAGGACGCTTCAGTGAGAATATGGATATGATTGTGTCAGTGTGTGGTACTATTATGTAGGTAGCCGGGAGAGTCCAGTGGATATTTCTTGTTGATATTTGAACAATGATATGGGCGCTTTATTATCGTGGAACAATCAAGATCCCACACCCCAGCAAGTTGTTTGTTCTGAGAGTGAGTTGCACTAATGATGTTTGCTTCGCTGCGCTCTTTTCATGCTTGATTTTCAATTCCACCTTTGAAAATCTTTCATATTTTTGTATGAAAAACCCTTAAGCCGCGCAAGTATGCAATGTGCTTATTGAATCACTTTCAGAGTCGGACTGAACAATCCACCAATCAAAATCTACTTGGGTAGACATTATGGCAACGATGACGGAAAGTGGGTGTGTTGGCAGCTAAGGCAGCAACTACACCCGCGCGCGTGTTCGAACAACTGGGATCGCGCCTCGTTCGGCGACACAAGCGTTTTCCATCCCTCACGGGTCGGTCATTAGCCACAAGTGTATGACTTGCCTGGGCGGAACAAAAAACACCTGACTTATACCATCGGTGCCGCCCCGCCATTCCACTGTGTAAGGCGGCGATATCAACCTGCCCAAGTGATGCTTCGCCCTAACGAACGAAAAATGAGAGCATGATTGACGTGCCGGCGAACCCAAAAAGGGATTAATGCAATCGGGCAATATAGCTTTATCCTATTTTCCGTGGCGAAAAAATAGGTGCTACCTAAAAGGTGGTGAAAAGCGGCCATGCTCAAATTGCTGTCGAGAGGAGTGATGGGGGAGCGGCTATCGCTACTGCATGGTTCAATTTTTCTCTCTCTGTCCGGTCAGAATCATTAATTAAATCAGATAGCTCATTTAGTAAAAACTTTCTTATATATTTCCTGGATGTAGCCGCCTTTCTTCGTCACCCACATTTCTCGCCAGTGGAAATGTAGCATCGGGCATCGCCAGTGTGCCGAACAGACTACTGAGAGCATGAGAAATGTTCACAAACCCGTGAGCAGTGCTTCCGCGGACGTGAAATTCAACAAGAAAAAATGCTTTTGTTAAAAAAAATTCTGTTGAAATACTCTGATTAGCTTTTTATGTGCGGATCTGAATAGAAAAAAAAGAAAACTCTAGTCCAAAAAAGGTGTTTGCAAGAATCAAGCCAATAATGTGTAGATAACCGTCGGATATTTACATAAATAAAATAGTAATAAATAACAGCATTCCAAATTGCGCTATAGTTGACCTGAGTCTGAATGGAGCTATGTCTAATAATATTCGAAGTAGGAACATGGAAACAGTTGATCGCAGCGTTGATCAATTCTTGGGATGCGCCACGCATTCTACTTCCTATCAAAATAGGCGTTGGGAAGTGTGATTCTTCCTGCACTGCGACAATGCATTGGCTCGGAGGTATTCTACTCAGTGTTTCCTTCTATGCGAGTCCAATAATATGTAGTAAACTAAGCCCAGAGAAAGGAAAGCTTGGCTGGCCTATACGACGCGCGAGTTAATCTTTGATCTCTAAGCCGTGCGCGTGGCAAGTGTGTTCTTGTCACTACATCACTTCCACCCCTAGCGTACAAATGTAGTGGCAATTATTACGAATCGAACGCTTCCACTGAATATTCGATTTCCGATAGATTGAAACTATTAGCATTCCTATTACTCTCACACATATGCCTATGGAAAGATAGGCTCAAAATTTTGAATGCTACAAGTTGTGGATGATTCTGACTAAGCAGCATTTTCCCAATGGCGAAAGTGAAAACACGCCAGAGTGATCGTTTGGCATGAAACCACGTCGAAGGCTTCGTACATCAATCCAGCAACACAGACAGCGACACAGCCAACACGAACAGGTTGAAATCAGCCAGTTTCTACGAAATATAAGGATGATGAACGGCAGTTCTAGCGGAATTTCTTAATTCCTTGCAAATTAACTCATCCTTTTTTCTTTTTGATAACCCTTAGCGCAATAATTCGATTCCAATAATAGAATGGGCTATACCTGCTGAACACGATGGATACAGGTCAACGCATTTTTTCTGACATTCACCAGCGTTCACCTGGAAAAGTAAAATCACAATTTGCACATAAAAGACTGAAGATGATTTGTGATCTACTGGTATGCAAAATTCAAGGAGGAGAAGATAAGGATAACATATTAAGATAGGGCATAGATAACATTAGCAACAAGCTATAAGATTCGCTACTGATATACTACCCTACTGACTCAGTATATCACTCTTGGGTAGAAGCTGGGCTCGCAACTACGAGGGACGAAACCTTGGCTAGAATAAATTCTTCTACTCAGCAATCTTCTAGCAGCAGTACAACAATATGAACTGTAAAAATAACTTTCCAATGACTTGATTGGAATTGGTGAAAGTGTGGAAGCATGCTGCCTTCAGTACTACACTGTATTAGCAGTAGTATTGGTGTATATGTTCCATCGAAGTGATTATTTGACTAATTGCTTGATAGTAGCTTGTATCCGTCCTTAACTATGTACACTATGTATTGCATTTCGGAAATATAGACAATGAGACAGGACATTCTGCACAGAAGATGCCATGAAGCGATCAATTGAAGGCGTCATCGGTAATCAGGAGACATAAACTTAAAGGCCATGTGCTCAAGTGTAATTCAAGGGCTATTGAATTCAGACAACTTCGGTAGAAGAAAAGTAACCCTTCCAATTTTGCAAGTAGATATTTTAGAAACAATACTCGAAATCGATGATAATGGTGAAAGAAACCAAGAAAAGGAAGACAATTAGCCACAGTGGAGGATTCAATAGTACTTTGATGGCCAACCTGTATCATTTCAATCGGATCGACTCCATCCAAGGCAGTATTGTTGTGCATGCGAGCGCACAGTTCCTCACTCTTTGTGACATTGCTGGCTTGTTTGGTTACGGTAATACGGCCTGAAGAACGTTCTCTCTTCTCCAGTCGTAATAACTATAACATCAAAGGGAGCCCTATTTCTGTTCAAGGCCTATCTCCTATTGGGAATCTACTTGATTTTGTACCTCTTAGCACTTTTGATAGGGAGTACTGACAGGATAGCACCTTCACTTATTGGAGCCTATGAGAGCTATCCTTTCAACCGAAGAGAGAAGTTGCAATAGGAGGAACCAGAGTAGGATAAAAGTTGTAACTCGGCAGTACTATGTTAGTAACGTTGGCCAATCCTAATCTTTTGTAAGTATTGAACTCTCAAAAAAAATCGTGAAAATTGCATGTCGGAAAATCAGAGGTTTCGTGGCTACAGTTTCCTGACTTACCAGCTTCTGTCCACGAAGTCGTGAAAAGGAGGATTACAACAAGCCACATGAAGGCCGCGCAAGCGGGAGAAGTGTAGATTATTTAGTTGGGCGGAGCGAACACGGTGAGAGGATCTGAGCGCTATCAGAATTGACTCACTCTCTGATAGGGATCGTTGTATCACTAGTTATTGTTCAATCAACCCTAAACACTATGCGATGTGCCCTACCCTAGTCACGGGTAGGCACTGGCGCGGCTACCCATGGAAAGGCCGTGGGTATACCATTGCTCTTTTTGCGCTTCCAACAAGAGGACCAAATTTTCTTTTCAAGATCAATTCTAGATATTTGCAAAAGATATTCGCTTTGAAAGTAGTCTTCTTCCGGTTCAATCTCGGTTTTCGTTCCATCTTCTCGTACACGTCACAAGAGTTCCCCGTCAAGATCACCATCTGTGTAATATACGCTGTTTAACACCTTTCGCATATTTCGTGCGTAGAGAAGACATTTGTAATATCCCATATTGTAACAGACAACAATTGTTGCGCAATGTCCGCCCGTGACTAGTGAAATGCTCGGCGATGACTGCTTTCTCGGGTTTCAAATTCCATGAAAAAATCATGTGTGGCGAATTGACCGGGAATAAAAATTCTGAAGTTTAATCTCCGGCGAGGATTCAAGTGGATAGTTTTCTACGTAGTGATATCGCAAGAATTCTTTAAAAAATGATGCGTGCGAGAGATAAAATTTACGTATATTGCCAATAGCGCCAAATAAAAGAGTAAGGATAAAGCAGGCTGCGTGGTCGTGAGTCGTGGTGTACGCCACGCACTTCACTTCCATTCAAATTCGTAGTGGCATTCAAATAAGGTCTGGAAAATAACAAAGGCCAGATGAATTTGAATGCGGGTTACCTACAGTGAAAAGTACCAAGGGGTGGTAGCAAGCGATGCAAAAGCCAGTGTTTTTATCTTGCAAAAAATTGGTACTAATTAACCAACCGCGGAAGGACAGTACGCTTAATTGGCCTTAACGGCTCATGGGATTCGGTCTCGAACCACGAAAAGCGAAGCCATGGCCACTACACCACTTGCTCTCACCACGCAGTATATACAGAAATGAAAAGGTTAGCACTTCTTCGTTAATTTTTGGCTTTGTAGCAGCATCTGCGTTCAATTG